CCCCCCCCCCCCCCCACCAATTGAAATTATGTTATGCTCTTACCTAAGGAATACTTTCTCAATGTTTTCTTGCAGTGAAATTTCCATGGCAGGAGTAAACCTTGAACATACATTAAAAATGAGTGATGAAAGATCTTCACAGTATGAGTGCCTATGGTCCACAAATGGAATGAATGAGTCAAAGAGCAAAGACAGGTTTTACTCGGCATTGTACATCAAGTTTACAAATGATAAGCAACTCAATGCAAGGGTTCAGTGCAAGATGTATTCTTTGAAAGACAAGAACCATCTCACCTGGGGTACTTGCTTAAAGAACTTGCATATTGATTGCAAGATGAAGGATGGCCAAAACTACATTGATGTTCAGCAAGTTTTATTCAAGTAGTTAAATATTTCTAAAATAGATGATTTATAAATAAATTAATAAAAATATTTGTCTCTAGGATTTTTTTTAGCCTGATTGATAATTGCTTGTGAAAGGAAAAGGTGAGAATAAATTAATACATAACAAAGTAAAACAGGAGTGCAGAACTTTTGTTTTAAGTGGTAACACAACCATGTTAAATAATAATGAAATCAACTATTTTCAGTGTTTCATTAACAGCCCTCAACAGTATAACTTGTGCAAGCGCATCATCTACCTTCAGTTGAAAAGTTACTAATAGTGGTAATTATATAAAGAAATTATTATGGAAGAACATGGCCTCTTTTTATATATTTTTGAGACTAGAACTTGAAATTTTTTTTAGTCATGTTAGTTTGTTAACATACATTTACTGGTAATATATTCTTAAATAGTCAGAATTCTACATGTATTTTTTAAAATCATAATATCTTAAACAGATTTTGATTAAAAGTGTTTTTCTTGTATTCAACAGCCTACAAATGTTAGTTTTAAATAATAACTTATGATACAAAGGGATATGCATACATGTAGCTTCTCAAATCTGCCATTGGAAATAATTATCTCTGGACACTAAGGATGTTTTTTTGTTTTCTGGGAAAAATACAAAGTTTTGCAAGGGAACCTTTTAATCGGCCTGCAAGCAATAATTCCATTATAGGAGTCTGGGGAGTTGAGCCAGATCTTGCAATGTTCCTCAGACAGTAATGCTCCTCCCCAACCCTGCCCCCAGAAGATCTTGTTATCTGTGCTCAGTATTGTCTGCTGTATATCACAGGGATCTCAGAGTGAGCTGCAAGAGAATACACGAGCAAGTAGTGAAGCTCCTCGCACTCATGTCTCCTCTCGCATGCAACTCTCGCGTGACTTCTTGCTCATCCACCAAATGGAGAGCTAGTCTGCTACACAGCCGTTTTTAGTGTCGTCATGCAATGCTCCTCCCCACTAGTGGCGAGGAGTATTGCGTGATGACTCTAAAAATGGCTGTGTGGAAGACTAATGGAGAGCTTGTTCACAGGCTTAATTCTCTGGTTCAGGGGCTCGTGATTAGGAGTAACACAAACTTGAAAAAAAGTGAAAACCACCAGAAAGACTGTGCACGGCTCGAAAAATATCACAGCTCCCGGAACTTATCAGATTGTATGTTTTTACGAAACACAACATAAATGTAGAGTGTAGATTAATTCATTTTAATTTGTGGACACCTTTTTTATTGTAAATATTAGTCTTTCCACTTTTTTTCTATGTACTATTGTTTTTTTTTAAATCCTGAAATATTTTATTACTTTACATAGGTTTACACCAGCTGTTTTTTCATACTCAGCTGATCTATTTTTTGCAGTATAAATAAAGTATTTATTATTACTATTATTATTATTTGCACAATACGAGCCGGCTCTCAAATTTTTTTTAAAATAATAAATGCAGTATTACCCCCTTCGCCACCTGTTGATTTATCTACAAGCTACTGCATGAGAATCTACAAGGTTAACCATAGCTACTATAAACTGTTCTACATTCAGATTTAAAATCTTATACTTGCTCTGCTTGTTAATTACGAGATCCTCTTAGGTTCACGTGGAAGAATGCGATTGTATAATAATATGACACTAATGATAGATCAAAGACTGATATATAGTCACTGTTGGCTCGACTTCTTGCTTTTGCAGGTCATTGTCACCTATCACTGAGGAGCGGCTCCCTGACTGCAGCAGAGTTATTATATTGAGACCTTATCACTGTGGGTTGTACGTGGGAAGGCAGTCTAAACAATAGAACATCAAAAATATTGATAGGGTCACAGGTGGAGTATCTTATGGTGAACTGAAAGACCCAAGAGAGGTTAGCCTGTTCCAGGCTACAAGATAGTAGCACGGGCCGCAGGCTAGGGAGAGCTTGGCCTTACACAGGCTAGACAAAGGTCAGAGATCTATCAGACACAGGGATCCCACCCTTATGAAGGCAATGCTTCAGATTTAGCATGCTTCTGCCAAATTGTGAAATTTGCCTTTACCATTTTCACAGAAATAAGTAACAATAACTATGTCCCTTTTCACTAATGCCTGTATTAATAATTATTACATGCTTGACTACCTTTACAATCTGATTTTTTCATGCACTTAAGAAATTTCTGCAGATGTAGCACATTAACTATTACAGTCTTGCTGGACATCTTGTGACATGTGAAGGTTTAATATCTGCTAAAGATGCACAGCCTGTAGACAAGAAAAACAGACATATAGATATATATGACATATTATGAACATGATGGTACAATAAAAGTAATTGATTCACAAGTAAGGTATAAAAACCCACATTGCATCCTGGGGGGTACTTCTACAATGGCCTATGAAGAGAGGCTCCGTCCAAAAGGGATACCTTATTATAGGAAAATTAACGCTCCATGAAATTAACGCGAATCGTTAAAATTCGTGTTAATTTAAGTCGCGTTAATTTTGTTGAGCGTTAATTTCCGCGACATTAATTAAGTGCAGCGTTAATTTTCACGCTCTTAATTTCCAGTATTTTAACCCCAGTTTTGGAACCTGTCCAGACATTCTTGACACCTAAAAAACATTAAACTACAAGCTTTCTTTCTTTCCATTAACCCTTTATTTTTCATCTTTCACAAAAGCTAAGGCGAAGGTTTACAATATTTCCAGTTCATCTTCATCGTTGTCGCTGTCAGAAGTGATGTCAATATCTTCTCCTTTGATTTCAGCCACGATAGATTTCAAATCGTCAACATAGTCTTTCCCGACAGAATATTAGAATCGTGTTAATTTCCTTTATTATGAAATTCTACCTCCTCTTTCACGTTAATTTTCTTTATCGAAAGTTGTTTTCCATCAAATTCGCGTTAATTTAAGTCGCGTTAATTTCCAATACCATAATTTCAAGGAGCGTTAATTTCCTATAATAAGGTACCTTTTTCAGGCTTCAGATACACGAAAGGTTATGGATTTCACTAGTTGAAGCATAGAAAAGGGTAGGGAAGTCTGCCTTTCCATCAGTCTGCAAAAAAGACTTTAAAAAGGCTAAAAGAAGAAGTTATGACGGCAAAAAAGTCAAGAAAATTTCCTGGTTTGGTGATGGAATGTTCTAAACTAGGGGTACCACTTTTAAAAGGAAGGTATATGAAAGGGGTAAATGTAGGTTTACTGTCAAAAATAGTGTATAAAAGGGTTGCGCCGGATTAGATCTCTGGGCGGAGCCTCGCCGTGTAAAACTTTGCTGAGTACCCCTTGTTTAATATCCTGTCACAATCTCGCCATCAACCAGAACATAGGAAAGACAAATTAATGCAAAGGACCCATGGTTTAACATTATCGCAACTAATGGTATTCCTTGCATGCTTCCTGAAATCCTTCTGCCTTCTGTATTTCCGAGCAAAATATATTTTTGATTTTCTTAGTCTGCATACTTGGCAGGACATGGCACGCAACTGTTGGCACATTAGTTTGTTGTGTTCCTTTTAGGTTGTAAACCTGAGAGAAATATGGGGAGATTTTTCCTGCCTTATTTCAGACTTGGACCTGTGTTCTCAAGGGGTGAATGAGATAAAAAAAGGAAACATATCTTAATTCCAGACCCTTTGTGCTAAAGAACACAACACCTTGGCTCGCACCATTTCAGAGCTAAACAGTTAAAATCCATGGCCAGTTTGAGACCAAAAGGGTGCAAAAACTGTAATTGTTGCTGCTGCACATAAAGAGTGCCCCATCTCCGGCCCCCAACCCCAAGCATTTGACTCTTCATAAAATATGCACTGTATTATACCTGACAAAATCATTGCTATTTCGAGTTCTTCTTTAAGAATGTCCAGGACTTTGGTCACGCCTTCCTCACCCTATAAAAAGATGAAAAGGATCAAGTTGAAGGTAGATTTTGTTTTGATGCAAGCATATTCCCCCCCACCCAACTTAGAGTACCGGTAGTGGGAGAATAATTAATGCTAGGGGGGTGGTTTTGGGTTGGGCATGTTCTGCTGGAACCCTGACCTTAAATACCCAATGTTCACCTGCAAATCTGCTAACCTATTCTGAACTATATAGGCACTGGCAACCCTAATAGCATGCTAAAATTCATTAAGAACAGCTGAACATTCTTTATACCACGTACAGTTTGATCATGCCCATTAATGATAGAGTTGAACATGGTTAATATGCACACCAAGGAACTTATTAAGCAGGTTATTTTTAAAAAGAATACATGAGTTTTTTCAGTGTTGGGACAAACAAATTTGTCCATTGTATATGGGTGTTCATAGAGTGGGGTTCCACTGTACCTGTACTATACCAGGATATTCAGATTTCTAAACCCTTTGACAGAGCAGACTACTTCACACAGTGGCACAATATTAAATTTAATTTTTTTTATAACTATATATAATAGCCTGTGATGGCCATCTATAGCTTTAACCGCCAGGCTTACATGTACAATATTATGATCCATTTTTGTTACCTTGTAGGCAAGTCCCCAAATGGCTGGTCGACCAATAAAAACAGCTCGTGCCCCCAAGGCTAGTGCCTTGAATACATCTGTACCCAGTCTAATTCCACCATCAACATATACTTCTACTTTTCCATTAACAGCATCCACTATCTCTGGCAGAACATCAATCTAGCAAAAATATATTGTTAGGAATTATTAGCAAACAACAATAATAAAAAAAAAACACTTTATTTATGCCACACCCCTGAAAAATCATGGCCAACAAGAGGGGGTGTAAGGGCTTGCAGTTAATTTTTATTTCAAAGTAAAGTATTGCAGTTTTCAGAGTCCAAGTGGTATGCGGCATAATTTTAAATTTATGTTGCAGTAATCAGTGAAAAAATTACAACAACAATTATTGTTGTCTCACGGTGACCTGCCTGTCAGGCCTGCCCCTAGTTACACAGTCAGGGACCATATCGCACAAACGGTCCAGACAAATTGTATAGCTTGTAATTTCAGTTAATACTTGATATTATAATACAAAATTAACCTTTTTATCCAATGATGCATAAACATGTCGCATTATATTATGACCTTATGGACCTTATGGGGATAGTTGGCTTGGCTAACCTCCTTGGGCCAGTGGCGAAACAATGGCGAGCGATCCATGTAGAAGATCAACAAAGTCATCAGTCAGATTTATCTACCAAACATAGTGAGGTCATTATACAATTGAAAAGTAATTTTCTACGAAGAAGGAAAAGGGGGCAAAAATTACAGAAAAAAAACAAGTTCCATAATTGTTTGGTAGATCAAGGGGAGAAGAGGCTGGTGAAATTCAGGGAAACCATTTGGTTTCAAGTACTACCTCATTGTACCTATACTCCTATCCTACGTTGCTACATTGCAGGCCACTTAAAAAAAAGGACTGACAGTTATTGTTGAATTTGAGCTTCACTGAAAGGCCACCAAAAAGCTTCAAATGACTGGCATGACCATGTATGGCCAAAGACTGAAAAATTTTGTTGGATCATTGGATGATCGTATCTTTATTATATGCTTAACATCAATGCACCTTGATTTGGAAACACACTGACATAAAAAAATATTATTTCTATTTAAAAGGTGGATCTGCAGTAGTCTTGACAACGGCAACTTCTTCCCATTTGTAACTGCGGTTTCAGTATTTGGCTAAATTTTGATGCGGTATTGCGGTTTTCTCACTCTCCCATGTGCAATGACAATGACAGTAATATGTATTATTAATGCACTTGTCTAGCTATAATTAAATAGTCACTTCTTAATTAGCTTGACGTGTATGCTTTGTGTCCCTATGTAGGCCTTTCGTGATGTTTTCAAGGGACCTTAACTTATCCTTAGTATTCTTATAAATTAGTTACATTTACTTGTGCTCAGAGACAAGAAAAAACTGAAAGAAATTGACAGCCCTCAAGAGTGATATCAGATATTACCTACCCTGGAAAAACAAAACTTAAAAACTAAAAGGTTCTTTACACACTTACAGTGGCAGGAACACAGTCTAACTGTCTTCCTCCATGATTGGATACAATAATTCCATCAACTCCATGTTCAACAGCCTTTCTGGCATCATCTGCTGTCAAAATCCCTTTGACAAGAACTGGAAGCTTGGTGATGCTCTTCAACCAGTCAATGGTTTCAAAGGTGATTGATTTATTAAATAAAGTCTTTGCAAATTTATCAAATGCAAAGCCAGAACCTTTTTGTTTGTTCTTCTCAAAATCAGATGATCTCTTGGCATCTACCATTTTTGCTGGATCAACATTAGGAATATTCATGAGATGAGGTAACAGAAAGGAATGATTTCTGACATCTTTCTGTCTCTTTCCTCTCACAGTTGCATCAACAGTCATGACAATTGCTTTATAGCCTTCTTTTTCTGCACGTTTAACAATCTTTTTTGTCATTTCTTGGGAGCTCAGTACATAAAGTTGCATCCATTTAACTGACTCAGGAGTCATAGTTGCAACATCCTCTAGTGATGTGGATCCAACACAGCTGAGTATCATGCAAGTCCCAGCCTTAGAAGCAGCTGCAAAACAATATAATCTGTTATTATACATTGTACACATTATTATTCTTCTCCAGAGGAGAGGGGGGGGGGGGGTGAGGGGGAACTTGACAAACACCGCAAAACTGTACAGAAATACATAAACCGCACACAGAATAACGTGAGAAAACCGCAAACTGCAGTTAAATTACCCCAAAATATCTAAATACTGCAAACCGCTTGGTTTTGTAAAACCACAATACCATAACTTGAAATGAAAATTTCCACAAAACTGCACCAATAAATTATTGAGCAAAACCGCATCACAGCAAACCCTTACGCTCCCCTCGATTTTAATTCTAGAAATTAGTGCAACGTACAGATACAGCTGTAGCCTGTGCTAACAGTTTCCCAACAACTTAAAAAAATGTAAAAAGGACCCCCTGAACCACGTCTTATTTTAGCTTGCATACTAGTAAAATATTACCTTTTGCAGTGGCTTGCTCACCATCAGGGTGGGCAAGTTTCTGAGTTGCTGTTGGTGCAATACCAATTGGTAAGGTAACTTTTTCTCCCAGAACTGTAGTTGAAAGGTCCACTTCTGAAATGCCACAAAGAACTCGTGGTCGTATTCTCAGCCTGAAATTCAGTTGTACATGAGCCTTCAAAGATCCTAACATTATTTCACCATTCTGTTCCTGTCTTCCTGTCTGTCTGGCCCTTTAAGTTAAGTGTGTCTTGCTGCTGCACTGTATTTGACCATGATGGACCTATAAAAAACATGGACCCCCAATCCATGGACCACCTCTGTGGACCTAGTCCATTGACTACCCCTGTGGACCACCCTGAATTTTTTAAGATGAATTTTTACCAGAGGTCTAAACGAATTTTAGGAACCTTAAATGGATGAAACTGTGTCAACTTTTAGTATATTTATTGTTAGAGTTAAAGGCTCCTTGAATATGACATGGGTTTGGTTTAGTCCAAAAGAAGAAACAATATTTTAAGGGGATCGACAGTCTAAGTGGCAGACTACTGGAGGAAAAGGAAATGCATAATGATTGAGTACCCTCCCCAGACATGCCTTTCCTTGATAGCTCTTGGAAATGTTGATTGGCTGGCAAACTTATTAAATCCTGCTCATGAATCAAGCACAAAATAACCTGCAGCTTATTAAACAAGGTGGTTAGTCAAACATCTGACAAGTTTGCAGACGAAATTTTCATGTTGGTTCATGTAAATTGCAATTCATTCATGTCGAGATTGCTGTCATGACAAACAAACAGACATTGGGCTTCTTCTTTAGTCTCATATATGCAGCCGTTTACAACCATTTTCACGATTTCAATGAGAAAACAAAAAAAGAGCTACATAGGAGACTGCGTCCTCCCTACCACCCCCCTGTTTCCTTAACATAAGGTTAGTCCTTCACTAAACTAAAACCGACCCATTACACTAGTATGGAACTGAAAAAAAAAATTAACAATTGTAAAATATGAGGAGCCCATAACCCTAATAATAAAAACTGACCACAGTTTCATCTATTTAAGGTTCCAAAAATTTGTTTAGACCTCTGGTTAAATTCATCTTCAAAAATTAGGAGTGGTCCACAGGGGTACTCCATGGACTTGGGGTCCATGTTTTGTATGTACGTGATCTGACACTCTACAAACAATAATGATAAAATGATAAGTTGCTTCAGTAGTTCAATTCTTATGTCCAGTTACCCCTCCACCACACACACAAATTTAATAAGCATGGAAGAAAATGAACGAATCAACAGCAAGGATCAATGAGTGAGAGTCCAACATGGATAACTACTATAAAGATCTCTGGAAAGGTAAAGAGGTGTCGTCCATTTAGTAGAAGAGTATTTTCTCATCACAGAAAAGGATGGGCAGCACATACCTACATGGCTTATATAAGGGAGTAGCGGGGGGGGGGTTCCCTAACAGCTTTCGCCTGATCTGTGGCTGAAAGAACGAGGTATATACATACGCATCGCACTTTGCACCATGGCTGAGAGAACACTCGTTTCGCTTCTTAGCGGAACGACATAAGACGTTAGCGAACGGAACTTTGAACTTTGGCGAAACGACTCGCAGGCGAAACGACCGTTCTCTTGAATGTTCTCGCACCTTTTAAATGCCTCCACGTTTTCTCTTATGGTAGTTTCTTCGTTGGCACCTCCAGCAAAAAACTCAAATGCATGATTTGGCAAATACTGCCTCGCGTAACTCTCAAAATCTTTCAAACAAACGGGTTCCGTCAAGGAATCCGCCATATTTCTTAACTCCTCTCCATACTCCAAATGACGTAGACACATTATGATTCATACACAAAGTCATTCTTTATAAAGGTTTGGGCAGTCTTACACCAAGTAGTACCCCAATTTGAGGAGAATAGTGATTAGGGCTGAGCACTGAAATACTGATAAGGGTTAAGCACTGACTCGAAAAACGGCTAGCTTCTATTTAGGGTTAAGGTTGATGCTATATGCTTCCAACTCAAACCACTTCGTGCCAGCAAATCCTTGGTAGTCCAGTGAGTGGTGGACTGCAGATCCAAAGCTCTGGCCGGCCTTGGGATAATTAAATACTGAGTGTATTAGGTGGGGGGGTGGGGGGTCCTAATGAATGGTATTTATCAATATGGGCACTTACATGTTTCCAATGGGGGAAGCGGGGGTCGGTGTACTCTCATATATTTTGGATAGCGGTGTGCTGCCCAGGGTCTTAAAAATAACCCTGACCCTGTATAAGTATGAGACAAAAAAAACTGATTCCATATTTAAAGCCCAAACCTGGAAAATAGGAAAGACCCAATTAAAGGGAAATAAACACACAAATCTTCTTTAAATCACTTTCCTGACACTCTTTTTGTAGTTAAAGTTCAGTTTTGATTTGTTTCTTCACTTGAATTTTAGCTGATGGAATAACGGTACCCTATCTGAACACAGCACTAACAAGGGCGGATCATTATTTGAATGATACCATATTTAAGGAAGGGGGCCCTAAAAAAACCCAACCCTATTAGGCAGCACATGTATACCTATCTAGCCCATATATGGGAGTACCTGGCCCTTCCCCTCTGAGTATGTATCTGATCAGTGATAAGCCAGACCAATCCAGCTTTAACTGTCTGCAGGGGCGGATGTAGGCCGGGGGGAAGGGTGCAGGGGGTATGCACCCCACCCCCCTCTGAGATGACCTGCATCTTTTAAATACGACTGATATTCTGCAAAAAAATTATGTGGTTTATTGGTGTTGAAGTAAATCATGAGACGACGTTGAAGAAATTATATTAATGCCGTAAAACAGTGGTAGTTTGGCAGGTCACCTCACCAGTCAGTTACGCTATTCCTAAGAAAAAACATAGATCCACTCCTGGTCTGGTATAAAAAAAACAATGTATTTTCTACCTTTTACTGTCACACTTGCCTAAAAAATGATTTATTCCAGTACACCTCACTCATAATGCAGCCTTACTTACAGTGTTATTAATATGCTTATTCTGGGATAAATCAAATTAAAGGAGCTGTGTCACGAAATGCAGCCAAATTAGGAAATTACAAAATGCCCGTTAAATGAAGAGAAACATAAAAATAACTGCTTAAAACGTTAAAGGAAGGTTAAAATAACATAACAGAAACAACAGATGTCATGGATGGGCCAAACTGAAGAAGACTGAAACAGATTGAAATTAGGATTTTTAAAAACTGTTCAGCCTAACAGTTTTTCAAAGTTGATCCCTGATGCTTGCAACTTCAAGAATAATGCTCAGGAGACATATATGCTTGTTTCGGGTTTCTGATTTTGTCATTTACATGTAATTTCTTTGCTTACTTTAAGTTCCATAGTGATTGAGGGCGAGTAATTAGCAAAATTAAACAAAATGAACTGGACTGCCGTGACACAGCCCCTTTAAATTTGTAGCATTTATTATCATAACTGACCATTAGATGGCCATTTTTTCTTTCTAATGTTCTTTATGTAGAGCACTCTGAAATGTGCCGTTAAGGTGAGTACTATTTCTCTGAAAATAAATATACTATTTTAATCATATAAATAATGACTACTGGGGTCATAAACTATTTACATTCAATCTATGTGCTAACGTTGTTATAAATCAGAGTATAGTATCACAAGCACACCCTTGCTGGCTGAAATACACATAGCCTGCACCACAGATGAAACTAAACCTCTGGTTAAGTCCATCTGCGAGCCAATGCCCAATTCATTATTCTAGACCCCACCTGTGTACAAGGATTTGATTACTCATCATGACTGGGTCGTTAAGGAAGCCATTTTCAATTTCCCAGCAGGTTAAAATGGAAATTTGAAATGCACTTCTGGTAATATGTTGAGTCCATTGGAAGCCCAGAAAAAGGATCTTGTTACTACTTTGCAGTCGTTACTAGTCAGGGCCGGTCTCAGTTTAATTCTTTTTGTCTACTTGTAATTAATGATTAGATGCTCTAAAAACAATAGAGACAATTATCTGAGACAATGTTTTCAAACAAAAGAAATAAAAAACCGAGTTAAATTTTCACCCCGGGTTAGCACTCATCGCCTTTCAAGCAACTGGGCCCAGGGTTAAACTACATCTGCGACACAGGCTATTATTAGGGCTGTCCACTATTTTTTAACTACAATGAAAGATGCGTTACAATAAGCAGCTCCAAGACTTGCAACTGCAAACAATAACTTAAGAGTAAAGAAAAATCAATTACCATAGTTCTCTTGGGGTTAAACAAGAAACAGACAATTCTTGTGATGGCTAACAATGGTCTACAATGTACATGTATAATCTGCATTGTTATATAGCTGGAAATTTTTTCCAACAGCGTGCGAATTGGATACATGACACCTAACAATGAAACTGTTTCCTGCCAAAATGTCTGAGAAGGCAACATTGCAAAATCTATGACGTCAGAGGGTAACAGAGCACTGTTACCCGCGAATGTTGACCAATGACCGCTGTTACAGCAAGGTTTAATGAATTTCCAGCTTTGAAACTCAATGACATTGAGTTTCTCAGCAAACAAAATTAGCTGTTTCCCTTGGGACCAGTCGTTAAGTGTTTAACGTACTACATGTCATCTACAGTACTACTTAAGATACATATACTTAATACATATACAATCGATTTACAATGTATGTAGTTCGATTTAAAGAATGATATTACAAGTCAAATTTGATTTCGGGTTATAAATTTTGCTTTAACCTAAGTTGATTTTCAATATCCTTTGTCTCCTAGCTATAGACAACAAAGGAAATTGAGAATGCATCTACCATTTTTGCTGGATCAACATTAGGAATATTCATGAGATGAGGTAACAGAAAGGAATGATTTCTGACATCTTTCTGTCTCTTTCCTCTCACAGTTGCATCAACAGTCATGACAATTGCTTTATATCCTTCTTTTTCTGCACGTTTAACAATCTTTTTTGTCATTTCTTGGGAGCTCAGTATATAAAGTTGCATCCATTTAACTGACTCAGGAGCCATGGTTGCAACATCCTCTAGTGACGTGGATCCAACACAGCTGAGTATCATGCAAGTCCCTGCCTTAGAAGCAGCTGCAAAACAATATAATCTGTTATTATACATTGTACACATTATTATTTTTCTCCAGAGGAGAGGAGGGGGGGTGAGGGGGAACTTGACAAACACCGCAAAACTGTACAGAAATACATAAACCGCCCACAGAATAACGTGAGAAAACCGCAAACTGCAGTTAAATTACCCCAAAATATCTAAATACTGCAAACTGCTTGGTTTTGTAAAACCACAATACCATAACTTGAAATGAAAATTTCCACAAAACTGCACCAATAAATTATTGAGCAAAACTGCATCACAGCAAACCCTTACGCTCCCCTCGATTTTAATTCTAGAAATTAGTGCAACGTTCTGATACAGCTGTAGCCTGTGCTAACAGTTTCCCAACAACTTAAAAAAATGTAAAAAGGACCCCCTGAGCTAGGTCTTATTTTAGCTTGCATACTAGTAAAATATTACCTTTTGCAGTGGCTTGCTCACCATCGGGGTGGGCAAGTTTCTGAGTTGCTGTTGGTGCAATACCAATTGGCAAGCTAACTTTTTCTCCAAGAACTGTAGTTGAAAGGTCCACCTCTGAAATGCCACGAAGAACTCGTGGTCGTATTCTCAGCCTGAAATTCAGTTGTACATGAGCCTTCAAAGATCCTAACATTATTTCACCATTCTGTTCCTGTCTTCTGGGCCCTTTAAGTTAAGTGTGTCTTGCTGCTGTACTGTATTTGACCACGATGGACCTATACAAAACATGCACCCCCAATCCATGGACCACCTGTATGGACCCAGTCCATTGACTACCCCTGTGGACCACCCTGAATTTTTTAAGATGAATTTTTGCCAGAGGTCTATCACTTTGAGTCTCCTTTTCCGTCTTGAGAAAATACTCCTCTACTAATTTAGATTCCCGATTCCAAAGCAAAATGGGCAAAGTGTATTTCGGACCAAAACGGTGCAAAAACCCTACCCAATTGGGCGGCACATACCTATATGGCTTATATAAGGGACTAGCCTTCCCCCCGGGAGGGGGAGGGGGGAGGCACTTGGGTATTTTTTGGGTGCGTATGTGCCACCTGGGACTCCAAATTGGCACCCCGTTCTAAAACAAAATTCCCCTAAAATTGATACCCCATTCTAGAAATGGGCCAATTTTTTATACCCTGTTCTAGAATTCGCCCTAAAACTGATACCCCGTTCTATAAATGGGCCAATTTTTTATACTCCGTTCTAGGGTGCAACAAGAGTATAACAGTTTGCTTCAGTAACGCATTGAGCCGTATTTTTAATACAATCTGTCCTTGAATAATTTCAAATGGCTGCTTACAAAACTGGAGCTTTCATGCGTTCGAAATATTATACCCCGTTCTAGAAAACGTCTCTTAAATGGATACCCCTTTCTAAACCAGGAGCTTTAAAATCACGACCCCGTTGGGCGGCACATACCCGTATAGGTAATGTATGGGAGTACCCCCCCCCCGGCCTTCCCCCCCCCGCCTCCCGGGGTTCCCTAGCTGCTTTCGCCTGATCAGTGGCTGAAAGAACGAGGTATATACATAGACATCGCACTTTTTTGTATCATGGCTGAGAGAACACTCGTTTCGCTTCTTAGCAGAACGACATAAGACGTTGGCGAACAGAACTCTGGCGAAACGACTCGCAGGCGAAACGACCGTTCTGAATGTTCTCGCACCTTTTAAATGCCTCCACGTTTTCTCTTATGGTAGTTTCCTCGTTTGCACCTCCAGCAAAAAACTCAAATGCATGATTAGGCAAGTACTGCCTCGCGTAACTCTCAAAATCTTCCAAACAAACGGGTTCCGTCAAGGAATCCGCCATCCTCATACTCCAAATGACGTAGACACATTATGATTCATACACAAACTCATTCTTTACAAAGGAAGGAGCCGCATATATGGCTGAGCACTGAAATACTGATTAGGTTTAAGGTGATTCCATAGTAAAAGAACCTAACATAGATTTTAGCTAAAACTTGGTACACTGATGTAACAAGTCAAGAAGATGATAAAAAAGTAATAAAAAGTGGAGGTCACCGTGCTCGTTTTGACGTCACAATGCTGACAAATACGGCTATTTAGGACCCTTTTACAAAAACCGCGGGCAGCGCAAAACTAGACAAAAAGGAGAGATTTTTTCGATGATGCATGTGACATCACACAGAATTTGACTTTAATGTATTGTTTATCCACTTACGTACCAGAAAAATGCCTTTTAATGCCCTTGTTTTTACTTTACGCTCCAAAGTAGAATTAAATTGGACGCGCGCTTTTCGACCCGTGATGGCTCAATCCGTACAATTTAGTAAAATTGCCAAAAAACTGAACATAGATTTGTGCCAATTTTTTTCTCATCGAAAGGAAGCACTGTCCTTATTAAAATCATGAAATAAAAAATGGGGGTCACCGTACTCGTTTTTGCGGTAGAGCTGCAGAAAGTGCGCACCAAACGCATTTTCTCCGATTTTTGAGAGAGGACTGGGGCGAGTTTCAAAATAGAATGTATGTGAAAGGGGGAAGAAAGTATTAAAAAATCCGTTTTTACAGAATTTACATCGAGATATCACATTTAGGACACAATGTGATAAAGAAAGTGTTTAAATGAAAATCAAAGTGAGTAAGCACAAGTTAAACATCCACTATCGAGGTTCTCCGAGAGGAGGTCGAACTCAGCCACACGCGTACTGCTTACGTTATGCACATTCCCAACACACTGAGTCTCACCTTGGCAAGAAAAAACAGCAAGCAAAAATTCCAATAGCGTTTCTTTTCAGTCAACTCCATTTTAATAATATTACTTCACATGCTCTTTTTTACGGCGGCCATCTTGTTATGCGCAGTAAGAGATGCGCAGTGCAAAACTAGGGAATCACCTTAAGCCTTAAGAATAGTGATAAGGGTTAAGCACTGACACGAAAAACGGTTAGCTTCTATTTACGGTTAAGGTTGATGCTATATACTTCAAACTCAAACCACTTCGTGCCAGCAAATCCTTAGTAGTCTTGTGGTTTGAGTGGCGGACTGCAGATCCAAAGCTCTGGCTTCTTAGGACAATTAAATTCTGAGTGTATTGGGGGGCAGGGGGTGCCTAATGAATGGTATTTATCAATCTGGGCACTTACATGTATCCAATGGGGGAAGAGGGGGGGGGGTACTGTCATATATTTTGGATAGAAGTGTGCTGCCCAGGGTCTTAAAAAAACCCTGGCCCTGTAGAAGTATGAGACAAACAAAAACTGATTCCATGAGTTTAAGGGCGCCCAAACCTGGAAAATAGGAAAGAACCAGGGAAAAACAAAATCTGAGAAAGAAACACACAAATCTTCTTTAAATCACTTTCCTGGTACTCTTTTTTTAGTTAAAGTTCAGTTTTGATTTGTTTCTTGGGTAACACACTTGGATTTTAGCTGATGGAATCTAAGGTTCACACTGGGAACACAGCACTAACAAGGGCAGATCATTATTTGAATGATACCGTATTTAAGGTGGGGAGCCCTAAAAACACCCAACCCTATCAGGCAGCACGTGTGTACCTATCTAGCCCATGTATGGGAGTACCTGGCCCTTCCCCTCTGAGTATGTATCTGACCAGTGATAAGCCAGACCAAACCAGAACAATGCAACTTTAACCGTCTGCAGGGGCGGATGTAGGCCAGGGGAAAGGGTGCAGGGGGTATGCACCCTGCCCCCCTCTGAGATGACCTGCCGCTTTTAAATATGATTGATATTCTGCAAAAAATTATGTGGTTTATTGGTGTTGAAGTTAAACATGAGACAACGTTGAAGAATTTATATTAATGGCGTAAAACAGTGGTAGTTTGGCAGGTCACATCACCAGTCAGTTACGCTATTCCTTAGTGGTGCACCCCTCCTAAGAAAAAAACATGGATCCACTCCTGGTCTGGTATACATAAAAAGAAACAATGTATTTTCTACCTTTTACTGTCACACTTGCCTAAAAAATGATTTATTCCAGTACACCTCACTCACAATGCAGCCTTGCTTACAGTGTTATTAATATGCTTATCCTGGGATAAATCAAATTAAATTTGTAGTATTTATTATGATATCTGACCATTAGATGGCCATTTTTTCGTTTAACGTTCTTTATGTAGAGCACTCTGAAATGTGAGTTAATGTGAGTACTATTTCTCTGAAAATAAATATACTATTTTAATCATATAAATAATGACTACTGGGGGCACAAACTATTTACATTCAATCTATGTGCTAACGTTGTTATACATCACAGTATAGTATCATATAAGCACACCCTTGCTGGCTGAAATACACATAGCCTGCACCACAGATGAAACTAAACCTCTGGTTACGTCCATCTGCGAGCCAATGCCCAATTCATTATTCAAGACCCCACCTGTGTACAAGGATTTGGTTACTCATCATGATTGGGTTGTTAAGAAAGCCATTTTCAATTTGCCAAGCAGGTTAAAATGGAAATTTGAAACACACTTCTGGTAATATGTTGAGCCCATTGGAAGCCCAGAAAAAGGATCTTGCTACTACTTTGCAGTCGTTACTAGTCAGGGCCGGTCTCAGTTTAATTCTTTTTGTCTATTTGTGATTAATGATTAGATGCTCTAAAAACAATAGAAACAATTATCTGAGACAATGTTTTTGAACAAAAGAAATAAAAACCCAAGTTAAATTTTCACCCCAGGTTAGCGCTCATCGGCTTTCGAGCAACTGGGCCCAAGGTTAAACTACATCTGCAACACAGGTTATTATGAGGGCTGTCCACTATTTTTTAAATACAATGAACGATGCGTTACAATAAGCAGCTCCAAGACTTGTAACTGCAAACAATAACTTAAGACTTAAGAGTAAAGAAAAATCAATTACCATAGTTCTCTTATGGTTAAACAAGAAACAGACAATTCTCATGATGGTTAACAGTTATTTTCATGTGCCAAATATCTTATGTTTTTACTACAATGTACATGTATAATCTGCATTGTTATATAGCTGGAAATTTTTCCAACAGCGTGCAAATTGGATACATGACACCTAACAGTGAAACTGTTTCCTGCCAAAATGTCTGAGAAGGCAACATTGCAAAATCTATGACGTCAGAGGGTAACAGAGCACTGTTACCCGTGAATGTTGACCAATGACTGCTGTTACAGCGAGGTTTAATGAATTTCCAGCTTTAAATCTCAATGACATTGAGTTTCTCAGGAAACAAAATTAGCTGTTTCCCTTGGGACCAGTCATTAAGTGTTTAACGTACTACATGTCATCTACAGTACTACTTAAACAGATACATATACTTAATACATATACAATCGATTTACCATGTATGTAGTTCGATTTAAAGAATGATATTACAAGTCAAATTTGATTTCGGGTTATAAATTTTGCTTTAACCTAAGTTGATTTTCAATATCCTTTGTCTCCTAGCTATAGACAACAAAGGAAATTGAGAANCTCAATGACATTGAGTTTCTCAGCAAACAAAATTAGCTGTTTCCCTTGGGACCAGTCGTTAAGTGTTTAACGTACTACATGTCATCTACAGTACTACTTAAGATACATATACTTAATACATATACAATCGATTTACAATGTATGTAGTTCGATTTAAAGAATGATATTACAAGTCAAATTTGATTTCGGGTTATAAATTTTGCTTTAACCTAAGTTGATTTTCAATATCCTTTGTCTCCTAGCTATAGACAACAAAGGAAATTGAGAATCACCCTAGGTTAAAAAAAAATTAATCTGAAATCAAATTAATTGACCCGCACATGTAACAGAGATGAAGTTTTGTATCTTATTATACCTTTGAAAGTTTTCCCTGCTAGAGTTTAGTACCAAAATTTCAAAATAACATCTTGTACTTCTGCTACAATGTGCACAATATATGATACCTTACTTTCTACATCTTGATGCAGTAAATATTTTCATAGGGAACACCACTGTGAGATGGACACCCTTCTAAGATGAAAATCTTAGGAAAGGCACTGATCTTTCTGTGTCTCAACATTCTATCAGGGAAAGCCAGGTGGCGACACTGTCACACTGAAGTTGGTACTACATTGTAGGTGGTTCATCCAATGGAGGATGTACCTCAGGCTGCTCTACCTGCCTCATGTCAACCTTTACAGGTTTGTACTTTACGACTGGACGAAGGCCACGCCTCCACCGGAAAACGCGACATTCCTTGCTGTAGCACAGACAAACTGACAGCACCAAGACCAGTGTCAGGACAAAAAGGGCAATTAGCACTCTAAAACCAAATGAGATATTTAATGTGTCCCCCGGAACGTTTTCAGTGACATGCTCATACATCCACAAGTCATTCAAGATACCATCCCTTTGTTTAACATCATGCCCTTCTCCTCCAAAGAGCCAAAGTTGGTTGGCAAAGGAAAATGAAACAGGACTCTCTCGTGGACCAGGGATATTATGCGGATCTGACTTCCCCTTTTCTCCAAAGACTGGCACACCTTCTCCTCTGCTTAATCCTCCAATCCATACCCACTGATGGCTTGACATCTCAAACATCCAGAAATCTGACAAGAGACCAGGCTCTGCAAAGGGTCCACGTGAAAAGTTATCAAATCCTGAGCCACCAAACACCAACAGATCTCCTTGTTCATTCACCCACGTAGCAGCACCTTCCCTGCAACCAGGGTAGTTGTTCTTGGAAGTGATTCCCATTTTTCCATACTTTCCAGCACAGTTGTTAAGACCAGTTGTTCCACTAAGCTTTGTCCACTCTGTTGAGTTTGGTGAAAACTGCCAGAAATGCGATGTAAGGCCAGACTGTGTTGAACCACCAAACATGTAGAGATCACCAGAAGAAAGAATCCATGCAGACGCTTTAGAGCACTTATCTGGAACCACGCTTGTGTTGCTTGGTGGCTTGACTTCAATCCATTGCATTTCTTGAAATGAAAACCTCCAGAAATCACCAAATTTCTCTTTCAAGGTTTGCCCACCAAAAATCCACAATATTCCTTTAGCAGAGTCACACCAGTATGCAGAATGACTTCTCGGAGATGGAGACACCGAAAGGTTGCGCAAGGCAGTCCAGTATTTATTTTCCATATGAAAAATAAATGTACTGGAAAGTCCAAAAACAACAACCCTATTTCCATAGTGACAAGAAGCACAACCAAAGCATGGAGGTGGCTGCTGTTTGCTGGTAGTTTTGTTTTCAAAGTGATGAAAATTCCAGTCCTGGGTTTTGACATCAAGAGACCATAGTTCGTCCAAAGGTGTATTTCTCCCATACTTTTGTCCTCCATAAATCCACACAATGCCATCTGAATCTTGCCAACTTGATGCTCCAAATCTGCTTCCTGGGTAGTCATGACTGCCATGAAGTTTATTTTTTTGGTTTCCGTGATCACTTCCACCAATCCATGCCCATTCTCCTGCACAGAAAATTATATTAAAAATATAATTTACGTTATGGGTAAACAAAAAATAACAGCAATGTGTTTATATACCCTATATCACTATTTTTGTCTGATGTTGGATCAAGAGGACTCAAGACAGTTTAATGTACCAGTATAGTTTGAAGAAAAGGTGCAAATACACACTCGACCAAAATTGAGCCCCTTTTATCTCTGATGGAAAAATCAAGTTTGATACACAAGAAGGCTAATTTTCAGAGGCTGTGCCTGAAAATCAGTTCTTTAATGTGCTTTTCAAACACAAGTGAACTCTGAAGTTCAAAAGCCAACTAGCATTTGCATCTTTCACTGCCATCAATCATCTTAGCAGAACTCTGAGGAAACACAAGTTTACTTCAATATTTGAAGTTCCTCTTATACCACAATAATGTCTTGAGCCACACCCACATACAATGTACAACCTGTAATGATTAGAGGANTTTATTTTCCATATGAAAAATAGATGTACTGGAAAGTCCAAAAACAACAACCCTATTTCCATAGTGACAAGAAGCACAACCAAAGCATGGAGGTGGCTGCTGTTTGCTGGTAGTTTTGTTTTCAAAGTGATGAAAATTCCAGTCCTGGGTTTTGACATCAAGAGACCATAGTTCGTCCAAAGGTGTATTTCTCCCATACTTTTGTCCTCCATAAATCCACACAATGCCATCTGAATCTTGCCAACTTGATGCTCCAAATCTGCTTCCTGGGTAGTCATGACTGCCATGAAGTTTATTTTTTTGGTTTCCGTGATCACTTCCACCAATCCATGCCCATTCTCCTGCACAGAAAATTATATTAAAAATATAATTTACGTTATGGGTAAACAAAAAATAACAGCAATGTGTTTATATACCCTATATCACTATTTTTGTCTGATGTTGGATCAAGAGGACTCAAGACAGTTTAATGTACCAGTATAGTTTGAAGAAAAGGTGCAAATACACACTCGACCAAAATTGAGCCCCTTTTATCTCTGATGGAAAAATCAAGTTTGATACACAAGAAGGCTAATTTTCAGAGGCTGTGCCTGAAAATCAGTTCTTTAATGTGCTTTTCAAACACAAGTGAACTCTGAAGTTCAAAAGCCAACTAGCATTTGCATCTTTCACTGCCATCAATCATCTTAGCAGAACTCTGAGGAAACACAAGTTTACTTCAATATTTGAAGTTCCTCTTATACCACAATAATGTCTTGAGCCACACCCACATACAATGTACAACCTGTAATGATTAGAGGAATGAATCAATTTGTGTGTTTCAGGGATGGGGTATGTTCAAATTGGGGGGACAGTGAGCTGCAGCAAATGAGACAGTCTCAAGATTTTAAATTTCCAGAAATTGGCATCTCTGTAGTAAATATACCTTTTTTTCAGGATTAAGAAAAATTGTTGATGCCATTGTAGAGATTTAGACAATTCATCTAGGTTTTTCTCTTTTTCAAGATGTCTCAATGTTTTTAAAAAAGATAATGATGTACTTAATTTTAATAGTTATGTTTTTTAGATTTTTCTATGTATGATTCATATGTTTTTTGTTTGGTATTTTCAAGGGTTTTTAACATGAGCCCCTGGCTTGGAAGATTGAGTAATCACTTCCTACGTCTTTGACATAAAATTAATTATCCTATCCTACCCTATCCTAAAAACAATAAATACAGTTGACTCTCTCTTGATGGACACCTCTGTAAGACAGACACCTCTGTCAATTAAAACAGCCAATTCAGGTTGGTACCTACCTTTCTTTACCCCCTCTATTTGACTCTCCATAAAATGGACATCTCTTTAGACAGACACTAACTGCTGGTGCCAAAGGTGTCTGTCTTAAAACACATTGGGTAAATTGGCTTTTGGGCTAAATGACCAGATATAGTGCTACAATCCCGGACAAAACTACTTGAGAAAGTTTTCCCCATTATGTCCACTTTCCTATACAACAAAACTATTTCCAAAACGACGACTTTGAGGAAAGAAATCCCCTTCCCCCAGTTCAATGTTGCTTCCTACAAATGCCCAGGGATCAGGCTTTCTTTTGAATACACAACAACATTGCTTTCAGGGGAAGGGGGAGAGGGAAGAACCGGTACAGCTACAATGTTTGGAAAAATGTTCCCCAAGTATGCAATTTTCTCAACATTTTTGTCCAAGATGGTAGCAATAATTTTAAAGAGTAATTTTTTAAGCCTGTGTGCTCTAAAATACACTGTAGGGTCAGTCAGCCCCTCTTAAATTTGGAACCTGCATGTATATAATAGGAAATCCAGGGTGTCAAGCAGTACTTAAGATTTTATTTTTGCTCAAAGGTAAAGCATCCTTACTGCTGCTCACTGTGTTTACCTTATGACAATGTTAAACCTATGATAATTTCGGCTTACAACGCCACAACAAGTGGTTGCCAAGGTTTGCAGAGAAATTTCGTAGAAACCAGCAAGTTAATTTTTCTGTTAATAACAAAACAGTGACCACTTTTATCGTTTAATCTTAGAATCAGGAGACAATAATAGCAGTTAAGCTGTACACAATACAACGCGCTGAAAAATATTAGCACTTGAATCTCCATGACCGGCCTTTGCAGTTCTATCACTGTTTGATCTATTTTTGAAGCAATTTTTAATCACACTGTTTTAATACGAGGAACCACTGCAAAGGAAAGATTTCACATTGAGCTCATTTTTCGAAGACAAGCAGTCCTTACCTTCCGTTTTCTCAGCTGTTTTCTCGCTGTGTTTGTTTGATAACAAACTATCAGAACCATGAGCAGCACAAAAACGCAGAGAAACGTATGAACCGACTTCAATCAATATCAACATTAACACTTGCAAATTCGCCATTTTTGGTCTGTATCGTTGTTCTACTTCTGCGCCTGTTACCTCATCTAATTGGCTGCTATTCCCGCGAGTTGCGAAGACGAAAGTTACCTGAAAGATTTCCTATAGAGCTCTCGCAACAAGTACTCGTCGTTCTCGGTTCTCGACTTTAAAATCTTATTCCAGCCCCGTCTGATCCACAAAAATCCAGGGGACCGATGCTGTCAGCCCAGCCTAACGGACTCACCCGCGGGCACACTTTCAGCATTGTGTATTTCTACTTTTTATAGCGAGCACGGTAGCCCCACAGGTTCCAGCGTAATGACATGTTTTCTTTACCAGTATTTCTATAGGGTTTCCTACTCTAAAAATTTGTAAGCTGTCTTTCAGCAGGAAGAGGCAAACCCGGGAGACAAACTAGCCTTCCGGGGTACCCGGGTACGACAAACCTTTTTTCCCGACAGTACTTTTTCAAAACATCTGCTGACAGGTTTTGCGCCTGCGATCATCAGAGTTTCTAAAATGTCGACTGGAAAGCAACTCGTCCGAGGCAAGAGTGGCATGCGAATGATTGCCGTTTCTGAAAGTGAACGTTGTCCTTTTTTGCTAGAAGAACCTCACTGGACCGACGACACACAGGTATAGTTTTTTCTTCATTTCTCTTTGATCACTTTTTGGCAGCTGCCAGTCGAAGGTCGTCGCAGTACTGAACTGTCGCATCAAACGATACGTTTGTGTTGTCAGTACGTGCTTGTTAATTGTTTGCTTGATAAAGAGGTGTTCTTATTGAAAAGTTGTTCAAATTTTATAGGTGCTTGCAAGGGCAGGGCTNAACTGTCGCATCAAACGATACGTTTGTGTTGTCAGTACGTGCTTGTTAATTGTTTGCTTGATAAAGAGGTGTTCTTATTGAAAAGTTGTTCAAATTTTATAGGTGCTTGCAAGGGCAGGGCTAAGATTTGTTGCAAAATGTATATTGGCTTGATGGCCGTAGGTTAATACTGAGATTTATTTTGTTTCCCTAGATTCTCAAATTTTAAAGTGCTCTATTAATGCAATTTTGTTTTTGTGTTTCGTTTCGTAGTTTCCGAATTGTGTGAAGTGCAATCGGAAATTTGACTTCACTCACCGAAGGGTAATGTGTTTGTGTTGTTTAAATTAGATATTGTTAAGTTTTATTGACAGTCCTGCATAAATCTACCTTTGGAAATGAAATATCTATAGCAGTCATAGGATTTGCCTTAAAGTGCAACTAACCCCCACCCCTCCCAAATGTTATTAACCGCTGGTGACTGCCGTAAAGTGCAACTACCCTCCCAGATGTTTTTCTCCTAATAATCAAAATCTTGCACATTGGTCCTCATGACTTGTGCCAAAAAATATTATTTAATATTATTGTGATTGATAAAATCCCTGCTAGGTCTCTTACATCCCATTACTGAGCATTTGTAGGAGCTGGGTTTGACTTTGTTATGATATCATCAAAGGAGACGATTTGCTGTGTACTCATGAGCCTATGGCCAGGAAGTTAGTTAAAGGAAATTTTTTTTATACAAGCTTGTCATTTCCCCCTCCTCTTGATACATTCAGCATATGTATCACCCCAGAATTATGGGATTTTGTGGAGCCTGATACCTCTTTGGGGATTGTGTGTATTGCTTCAGTGGAAAATAACACTGTCATTTGGGAAATATTGATTTCAGCTGTATGATTCCAGCTTACACTTCAAGAGAAGTTTGTGTTGCTCACATGAAAATGATCTCCTTCATGGATGCCACAACAAACTTGGACCCATTCTGCACAGTGCTTTGTAAAGGCTTCAAGAACTGCCAAAATTTGAAACTTTGAAAAATCTCAACTGTAAGAGAAAAATGCGATAACAAACATTTCTGTAAAATAGTTAGAACAATGAGGAGATTTTTTTTAGCAAAAAACATTTTTGGGGTGGTTAGTTGCGTTTAATTTAGGTTCTGTTGTCGATATAATAGATTTTATTCCTTCGCTTGTAATAAATTAATGAGCAGTGGTGTAAGGATTCTACCCAGCACATGTACTACGCACACTAAGGCTCTGTGAGTAAATATGAGGCTGAGGTTGACCTTGTTTTGATACAAACCTCATTAAGGAAATAAATTTTATTTAATTATGGAAATTATGCTTGAAAAATACTAGATAGCACAAGATCAACATGTTTTACATGAGAAAGCAGAAAGGGTTGTGTCAAAATAAGGGCAGCTCCAGCCATAATTCAATCCAAAACTGTGAAATGGGTTATTGATTTATGCTATAGCATCACTGTAGAAGATGTGGCAAGATATTCTGTGGATCATGTTGTGATCATAAAGTTATGTTACCCAGACTAAGTTTTGTGGATCCAGTCAGAGTTTGTGAACAGTGTTCGCACACAGCCAAACGTGAAGAAGATTTCTTTGAAAAACATTTGAAAACCCTTTGCAATGGTAAGTACATGTTCTACATACCATCTGCTGTATACTAGAACCCTACCATATCACTGTTGTTAGACTGCCCTGTTGTTAGTTAGAAATAATAAGAAATTATGTGCATTTAGTTGAATCTTCAGCCTTCATCAGGGGCATGTGATAAAACTTTTAAAAAAGAAACCAGATTTTAAGCTGATTAACCCATTTGTCCCTGAGCTGCCCGTAACCACGTGTGCGGACTCACATCCTTTCTACTGCTTGTGACGTCATCAGTTTTGATTGTCAAGGATAACTTTGTCCACTAAGTTGTGCAGAGTGAAGAGATCTATCTTTCAAACCATACCAGAATGAGCACAATTCAGATGTCAAGGACACCAGAGAAAAAGGCAAAAAAACCGTGTAACATTGACCTGAAACTTTCCATGAAAATCTTGTTTCACTACCCACCTACCTTTCCTTTCATCTAATCCTAAGATCCCAAAAGCTTTCCTAAAAACTTTTCGCAACAAAATGAAGCATACTATAATAATGCCCAGCAAGAGAAAAAAAAATGAGGCAAGAAAAGCCAAGAAAGAGGGCAGGAGAGAAAGTGAAAAGTTAGCCTGCGATCAAGCTCTCCTATTTGGGCAAGCGAAGCGAGCCTCGTGAGAACACGCGAGCCAGGGGCCGAGGAAAGGAGAGCTTGCAACGATCTCTTATAAATTTTCATTTCCACCCTGGAAACCCCGGGACTCCGCAAAGCGTGAAAACTGTCACTGCAAACGTGCCGCAGATTAGAAAGTGACAACCGTCTGTCAAGTAAGTTTAGACAGCCGAGGGCGCGCAGAATTATTTATTTATAAATCGCTTTCGCAACAGCATCAAGGCAATGTTTTTAATTACTGATATATATATATATTTTTTTTTTCACGGGGACATTGAACTTCAATGTGTCCGCTCAGATAAGAACTCACTACTTTGATTCTTGTTTCATTTACTTTTGGAAAGTCGTCCAGACTGCAGTGTAGAAGACTACTCCCCATCGCAATCACCAACAAAAACATCATATATTTGTCCGTCTGGAACTGGAGAATAGCGTTTTTCTGCACTTGGTTCTCTTAAGGTTTACTCCAGTTACTTCCAACTCTTTCTCTTTTCCCTATTTACAGTCAAGCTACACAGCTACACTGTCAAGTACATGTTTCTGAATTTTTCTACCCAGCAGAATTCAAGCGGGCGAAGAAACCGATGTTGGAAGACAGCGCTTTAATCATTCTTCACTTTCACTCTCCCAGTTTTCAGAACTAAACAAGGCGCTTAACACAAATGAATACAACTGATGAAGGGTTTTCATTGTCCTTCCCCAAGAACTACTAACTCGGTCCGACTTATCCTCAGCACGCAATATTCTCTTTGCGAGAATTACATCAAACGAGCCCGTCTGCATTGAGGGCTGAAACAAGTTCTCGGTACCAATCTGATCCCCCTGAGAACCAAATTTGACACACAGACGAAGCGGGTGCCAGCTTGGCCTGTTATCAATCAACTTTGATCTCCGGGACGCCATTTTTCAGCCAATGGTATTTCCCTTCGTCTGGGCAAAGTACAAATAAAAATTTGTAAGGGATCGTTGCAAGCTCTCCTTTCCTCTGCCCCTCGCGCCTTCGCCGCTTGCTCGCGCATTCTCGCGAGACCTGTTTCACTCGCCCAAACAGGAGAAATTGCTCACAGGCTAACGAAAAGTAAAAGTCAAGACTGCTGAGTCACTTTTAAACCCAAAAACTATCTAGAAATTTTGCTTTCTGAGTATGCCCGAACTTCACAAGCTAATATTTTGCATCTGGATCAGACGGCCATGAAGTGTATGACCTGTAGATGGCTTTGTGGCAAATAGCTCTTTATAAGCATGACAGTGACCAGAAAACTGCTCAACTATCTTCAAAATGGGTTTTTCGGCAAAATTTCTGGGGGCAAATGGGTTAAGTCTTGTCCTTTGGAGCTTAATTGTTTGAACAGTATTTTATTCTAGTAATCAGGGCTGTCACTAAGATTTCAAGTTGCTGAGGACTTCTCCATTCAAAATTTTGACAATTAAAGGAGATTGCAATTTTCAGGAATTAAATTTTTGTCACTGAATTTCTTTGGCTGCGTGAGCCATCATTGCCATTTGCATTATTGTAAAATAGTCAGGAGTGTTTGTGCTTGATACAATTTGCTTGACTTTCTGAGATGGAGTGTAATAATATAGTTTTAGAATTCTAAAAATCTCAGGAATGTTTTTCTCATAAATATTGCATTTATAGGAGCTCATTTTATAGTGGATAATTCAGAGCCCTTGAAATTCCTTTGCAAACTTGAGCAACATTTCCACAGGTAAAAAAAATAATATCATAAGAACATAATTTTAGAATTCTCCCCATTATACTACTACAGGAGAAATTTCTGCAATTTGATTGGCTTAGAGCAGTGGTATTTCAGCTTAATTTGAAATACCTACATGTAAAAATTACAAACCTTTTGTAGGTAGTAGTATAAACAAATAATAGCAGGAATTGTACGTGATATTTGGCATAAATACCACTCGTGATATTTCAAAATTGTCTCAAATTTCACTTGCCTAACGGCTCGTGAAATTAGTAT